TTGAATGATCCTCATTCACTTGGTAAAGTACATTATTGTTATTTTCCACTGCTAGGAATAGACAAATAAATAAATAGACAAACCCAAGGATAATTTATTCATTTTTAAAGCATTTTTATAACACATTTTTTGTGAAGTATAACATATATAAATTTAAGTACACAAATCCTAATTAAATTTAATTTTACATAGTGGATGCAAAGATCCATTATCAAGATAGAAAAAACTATTTACATCCCAACGGCCCACATCATAATTGTCTCTTAAAAATATGTTCTTTATAGTAATTAAGGATTATCTTTGCTCTGTCAACACTAGAAATACTTAATTCTTTTTATTTGTATAAGTTGTGAGTATATAAGTGTTTCTGTTTATATTAATAGCACCTAAATTAATAACTATTTAACAATTATGCTTAATATTTGCTTTTGAATTATTGAGTATTGAGACTTAAGTGTAGTACAGGATTAATTTTTTAAGTGTTTCCATAATTGGAAAATGATGTTTAAAAATATTTTCTGGACATAGCTTTCAATGAAAAGTTGTACTAAGTAAGAGATAAAATAGTTTAAGATTTGGGTTACTTAAATATTGCCTTGTGAAGCATTATTATTTTGTAGACAAAGAATGGGAGGCCTACAGTTTGTTTCTTTGTCATGTATACCAATATTCTTCCAGTTGCATTCCCCAGGTATTCTTCCTGGGTTTAAAAATCATTAAAATGGATGAGCCATTCATTTCCTTCACTGAATGTTCACTATTAGTAAAATTTTATGTGTTCCATCAGCAATTTGATGAGATACAGCCATGTTTTTTCTTTATTTCTCACAGCACTGGGGTTCTGCAGAGTATCTCTGGGGGTTCTTTGATGTCTAGACAGTTTAAATTATGCCTGCTCCCTTGTCTTCAAATTCCACCCCGTTCTGCTTCAGGGATTGTGGGAAATGAAAACAAACCAGAAGGGTTCCATAATTTTATAGTCTATGGGGAAATACAGAAAAGTAGAGTAAGCTATATATTGACTCCAGCAGGTGTAAAAGGGTCAAATTATAGGGAATTGAAGAAAGAAATGAATTGGGGGTGTGTCTGCAAATAGTGTCCTGCTTATTAAATAATTAATATGTGAATGCAAGCACATTGGAAACATAATGAAAACATTATAGGAGTATTAGGGATAAGAGTAGACATCCCTTTTGCCCCACCCACCAGTGTTTTCTCTCCCAACTCTCCGTTGGTAGCCAGTCTAAGAGTTTGATGTGTTTTCTGTACATTGCCCTATTTTGAAATAGTGAGATGTTGAATTGTGTTTTTAATTGGAAGACTAACTTTCTTTTCTTTCTCTCCTTTGTTTCTCTTTTATAAATCGGAATATCATGGTTCTTACAATTCATCTTGTTAGAAAGTAAGTAGCCTGAGATTTCCAAACTTTTTTTTGTGTGTGAAAAACGTATGGTGTGCTAATGCTTTATGTACAATGTTATACAATTTTTAACTTTGTAATTCTGACTGAGGTGATTGACCTTGACATTATAACAACGAAGAACATATTTTATAAATAAATTAGGAATGTTGTTAAATGCCGTGTAGTCATTTCTGATTCATAGCGACCCTGCGTAGGATTTCCGAGGTTATAAATCTTTATAGGAGCAGAAAGCCTCATTTTTCTCCCACGGAAAGACTGATAGTTTTGAACTGACCTTGAGGTTAGCAGTACAACTTGTAACACCTATGCTACCAGAGCTCCTTATATTAAGAGTTGTTGTTGTTGTTGTTAGTACCCTCCTGTCAGTTCCAACTCATTGCAACACTGTATAAGGTTTCCAGGAGTGACTGGTGAATTTGAACTGCTGACCTTGCAGTTCAAACTGACCTTGGGGTACATTGCATTATCCCACGGTGACACAAGGTTTTATAGGTGGGTGTTCGTTCTGTGAAAACAGACTTAAAAAAATAAAGTTAAAAAAATTTTTTTTGATACAGCTTATCATTGTTTTTGAATATAGTTTGTGATTTAAAGCAGACCCAACAGGAGCACTTCCTAGGATTTGTTTTTCTGAATATAAAAATCAAAGAATTATATAAATAAAACATTCGTTTTTGCACAACAGAAGTTAATTCAGACATGAACTACTTTAGGAAACTTCTTTTTTTTTTTTTAACTCTTTTATGAGTTGGGAGGGATTAATGGTATTAAGTGAAATGAAAGGTTTTTAAAGTACGTTTTATAATGTACATTTTTCATGGACAAAATAATTTCACCTTTGAATAATTATCTAATTTCTGTGCTAATGCTTTGTCATTTTTAAATAAAATTAAGCATACTGTTTTCTTTTTTCTGAAGAGAAATGCAAGTGATATACTTAAAACTAGGTGCCTAGGGATTAATTAAAGTTATACATTTGACATCTAATTGCAAAATATTTTTAATTATTCTTAAATGTAAATGTGTAGTTTAAAACAAAACACTTTGAATGTGTTTGTTTTGGAGAAGATTTGGGGAAATTGTAGTATGGTAAGACTTTTAAAGATATATTACCATGTGATTGTAGCATGTGAATTGTGTTTTTTAAGTATTTTCAAACTAAATCTTGAGTATATTGAGTTAATAAGCAGTATAATTTAATAATATGTTCGTGCTCAGTAGAGCTTATTGTTCGTATGAAACTAGGTGCTTATCACATATGTTTGCAACAAGCTTAGAGCAAATTGGTTACTTAATAGTGAATTTATCTTCTACAATTACCTTCAGTTTGCTGTACCTTAGAAAAAAAATGTAAAATACAGTGACTTTAAATTATACTTGTTAAGTAATTTGTAGTTTTATTTGAGTCTGTATTATTTTTTAATGTTCTAAATCTGAGTTTTTAGAATTATGGTTATTAAGACCTTCTGAGTCAAGAGTATGTGTGAGGTTTGGTGGTAGGTGGACAATTGAATTAAGTCCACGCTGTCATTTTTATCTGTTGGAATCTTTTTTTTATGTGTAGTGTCAGCATTATCTTGCCAACTCCCTATGGGAAGTTTTTTCTGACAGTTGCACTAAATTAAAATTCTACAAATATGGCATAACCATTGCAAGCTTCAAATTGTCTATGCTCTTATATAGAGTATGATAAAATAATTTTATAGCTTACAGTATCGCATATATGGTATTATTTATCTGGAAGTTTCTTCACAGAGAGACATTTCTGAAGAGATGAATGTATTTCTATAAGTATGCGTGGACCCACATAAAAGCAAAAAAATCTTTTGTGAGGGATAGTCATGTGGTGAGTTACTTAAGCTTGCAGGAAAGATACAACCTAAACACATCACACTATTACCATTTTATTTTAGTGTTATAACTGCATTTCACTATGACCAAATTTGTTAGGACTCTTGTTTCCTGTCATAGCCAATGAAATTATATTTATGTCTTGGCACAGAGCAACTGTTTCCTCAAATAATAAAGAGTGTTCTTATTATTGTAATACTTAAAAACTTCTATGACCATGATGCATATGTACATATATATTTTTTAAGTGAAATGCAGTTATAACACTCAAATATAGTGTGATGTGTTTAGGTTATATCTTTCCTGCAAGCTTAAGGACCTCACCTCATTATTATCCCTCACAAAATATATGATTAGCTTTGGTTGCGTAGTGGTTACGAATCAGGCTGTGAACCTCAAGGTCAGCAGTTCGAAACTACCAGCTGTTCCATGGGAGAAAGATGAGGCTTTCTTCTCCCATAAAAATTGACAGCCTCCGAAACACTGTACAGGGTCGCTATGAGTTATAACTGACTCCACGGCACATAACAACAAAAACAACAACATATGTTTGTGTATGTATATACATACACACACTGACTTGCTACTAAATGTGTTCTGGAAACTCAGCAAATTTGTTTTCATTGAATTGGTGATTTTTAAAGGAGCATATTTTTTATAAGAAAGATTTTATAATCTTGGCTTTTATAAAAATTTTAATTAGTGATAGTATAACAGAATTGAAATTGAAACCTTAAAAGCCTAAAGGTTCTCTTACCCCAGAATATTTTGTGCTAAATTTGTAGAACTCCTAAGAAGTGATTGGAATCGGCATGGAGGGATGAGGTTTCTAAACAGTGCTAGCATAGCCAACTATAATATTATAGAAAACATTATAATTAATTGAAAGCAGTAATTCTAGCTTTTAAAAGTATCAGTTTGCAAACAAGTCACAAAAGTACTTTTCATAAACATCTTTCCAAGTGTATGTGAGTACATTTCAATAATGTTTGCTGATAGTTCTAATAATTAATTTAATGCTGCTTGATTTATTTTTGAAAAAAAAAAAAAAAACACAACAAAGTTGATTTAATCATTCAGTCACTTGCATCTTTACTACAGAACATAACTGTCAGCTGGGCAACATTCCCAAGCACATAGTTATTAATTTGACATATCTGGGAAAGGGATGCCATTGTAAAAGCTGTGTGAGACACATAAACGCAGCCAGAGATTCTCACTTGGCCAAATGCGAAAGTCCTGAGACTAACTTAAATACTTGTAATTTCAAATCAGTTCTTCCCTGGTTTCTTATTATTCTTTTGTTGCTTTTCAGCCGATAGGATGGAGCTGTCCTTGAACTTGGGTTTTTTTTGTTTTTTTTTTGATCATTCAAGTGCAACCATCAAGTTGTCTGTAATATTTAAAAACTGGTGTTATTTGTAAAATAATACTACATAAGTGTTGGGCTTTGGTTTCTTTAAAATATAGTGTTGGTTGCTTTATGAATAAAAGCATCATTTTCATTCAGGAGACTTTGCCTGAAGCCTATAAGACAGATGCATCTGATTAACTTTGGTGGAACTAGACTGGCCCTTTATTGTAATGTAGATGTTTTTGGGGTTGGGAGGATATTTTAAAAAGGCATGCAAGAGGTTTGTTTTTTTTTTTAAGGGAGTTAGAGAACAGCTTTGCAACAGCAGCTCCATCTCAGACTGCTTCACATTTGCACACTTTTATTTTCTAGTGGAACCTCTCCATTAGCCTGTCTGAATGCAATGCTTCACACTAACACTCGAATAGGGGATGGAACATTCTTCAAAATCCCTGGAAAGTCAGGCCTCTATGCTCTCAAAGTAAGTGGGATTGTTCTGCATATTCTGTCTGTTAAATTATTACTATAGTATGTGCATATTTTTAGACAAGTGAAGGTAAATGCAGTTAGATATGGGTGAAAGAATGACCCCATATGCCTTTTAAATGTTTTCATATGTCTTAAAAATGATTTCATATTAAGAATAAACAAATGGTATTTTTCTTTAAGGAAAACGTTTCTGATCTGTGACCTCACTCTAACATATGGTAATAGAAGATAGCTCTGGCTTCCTTCAAATTCTTGATTCTTTAAAATTCATGGAAGAATGCCATGGACCATTAGTCAGGAGCGTAAGACGATCCCATTTACCATGAATTATTTGTCTTAATGATGATTACTTGATACACAGGTTTTTATAACTGTGTGCCTTTCTTTATTTTTATAAAAATAAAGGAATTATTCGTTATTCTTGAAAAATGTGTGCAATTAAATCAGGTATTCAATTTTAAGCAAGCAGTAATCTCAGGCTTTACAAATAATGCCTACATGTAAACGAGAAGGACACAGGCAACTAAAGTAACTGAAACTATTTTTTTTTTTTATTATTGTTAGAATTTAGTTTTTATTTTCCTTTAGTTCTTATTCCATGTGTAATTGGAAGTGTCATCTAAAATGGAAAATTTCAGAAAAGGACAAAAATCCATGATCTATAAATGGTTACATAGAATAAGCGAAATCATTGTATTGTTTCTTATAAATTAAACAATAATAATAACATACGTTATATATGTATTTATTTATATATATAGGAAGTTCATTCATTCCCTCTGAGAAGTTATTTGTTTTTTTAATGCCACAAGTTAAACCTGGCAGTAGACCAGGGATCCTGCCTCAGCTACTAAGTATCTGGCTCTTGTCCCTGTGTGTGTTTTCAGAAAATAATACAAGTTAAATAGAAGAATTTGTATTATTTCAGTTGTTTTTGAAGCTACTTGAGTGTTTAATAAACTTACTAAAATTCTGAGTTATTAAGACGTTTTCTCAAATGAAGACTGCAGAACTGAAGCAATGGAAACAACTTGTCAGAATAAAATAATTTCTTTTGGGGCTGGTTTTAAAAGATGTCAAAACAGTCAGCAGTATCTGTGTTCTTTTCCTAGTTTGCCCCAACCCCTCCCAAGAAGTGATGTATATACATTAAAAAGCTATTGATAATTGAAAATCTCAAATCATAAATAACTATAGTACTGTAGGATTCTGAAAGTATTTTTAGTGTTTTCAGTTGTTAATACATCTCCATAAATCATTATTTTAAAAAATAATATAGAAAGAGGAGTCATCATGCCCAGCTGATGGAACATTGGATTTAGGCTGTGAGTCTGAATTAGATGGCACAGAAATGGCTGAGGCAAATGCCAATGGAGAGGAAAATGGAGGTAAGTGTGATGAATTTCAAGATACGAAACACTTGTTCTGTTAAAACTTAAATAGAATGCTAAAAATTCACTAATTGAATTCCCCACCATATAGTTAGAGTTTTCTTCTAGATTTTTAATAGTTATGTAGATTTACTATCAAATAGCTTTAAATCAAAAGCTTAACACCTAAGACAAATATGTAATCCCTTACTTTTCATCTTACTTATTTTTTTATGGATGCATTCTTTGGATAATTGTCTTGAGTGTTGCTGTTAAGTGCTGTTGAGTCAGTTCCAACTTATAGCAACCTTGTTTAGAGTTTCCAAGGAGTTGCTGGTAGATTTGAACTGTCCACCCTGGGTTCGCAGTCCAGTGTTTATCCTAAAGTGCCACAACAACAAGTATCAGTGTATTTCTCCTTCAAGGTGATTGAATAACTGGTGGTATCTAATAGTGTTATTTTTATGTAGTGATTGAGAATAATGGTGTTTTTTTTCTGTTTGTGTTCTAATTTCTGATGTGATTCTAAGTACTTTTATAATAGCTTTGGTTACTTGGTTTGCCATTTATAAATTAAGCATCGTGCTATTCTCCTTCACAGTGTAATATAAGGGTCAAACAAGACATATTACTGTTAAAAACTTTTGAAGATGGAATGACCCTTTGCAGGTCTAAGGGGGTCATATACTACTTCTGAATTCTGTTCTTGTTAACTCATTTTTATGATTCTAAAAACATCGCCATCATATACTGCAGGTATATGCAATTTCTAGACTGTTATTCTGCCCCAAAGTGGTTCTACCTTTCCCCTTTCTGTGGGAATTCTACAAATAGGCCCAGATCAGGAATTGTGAAGCAGAATGAGTTCTTAAAACCTTTATCAGTAGACTCATTAAAAAACAGTAACCAAAATAACCCAAACCCATGCCGCCTGGTCAATTCTGATTCACAGCAACCCCATAGGGCAGCGTAGACCTGCCCCATAGGGCTTCCAAGCCCTGAACTCACAGAAGCAGATTGCATCATCTTTCTCCCATAGAACTGCTGGTGGGTTTAAACCGTTATCAACCTGTTTGCTAGCAGACAAGTGCTTAACCATGGCACCACCAGGCTTCCTAGTGGACTCAAAGAATCCTAAAATATCTTCAAGGATCCTTGCATAAATACCATATTTTAGTAATAGCCCAAAGCCATTAATTTTGTTAATGGTCCTAGGAGTCCTTTTGCATTCTATGAGCATGCTGAGTGGATCTTCCTGCCCTTTAAACTGATGGTGCTTTCTGATGAGCCCCAGGAGACTGGTAATTAGTTCCTATCTGAATCTACAGAAGAGGCTATGAATTTAACACTGGAAACAGATTCTTGTTTTAATAAAATGACTATAAATTGCTGCCTTGGATACTAAGTCATAAACATCTTGCATTTGACTTGGTGTTATTATTCCTGGATCCTCTGAAAACTCAGTGTTCACATTGTTGTACTAGAACCTTGGCTAGTTCTTACAGCTAGAAGAGTGAGCAAGACAGAGATACATGGCAGTTTCCAACTGTCAAGAATTTCTAGTCTGTGGGCATACTCTCCTCCTTTAGTGGACAAAGGAGGATCATATTGGTATCTTTTCTGATATTTTTAGTGCCTGCTTGTGTGAGCACTTTCTCGCTTTCTTCTCTTCTTTGATCAACATATATATACTGAACTTTTACTAGTAAAAACCAAAAACACACCTCTCAGGCAGTATGAATAGGAAATATATATAGCCTGTTTATGTTCCCTCATGGCATAGTGAGTTATGTATTAGGCTATTAACTGTAGGGTCAGTGGTTCAAACCCACCAATAACATTATGGAAGAAAGAGGAGATGTTCTGCTCCCGTCAAGATTTGCATCTCTGGAAACCCTATACAGGATCACTATGAGTTGGAACCAACTCTACGGTACACACCAACCACCACATTAAGGTTCCTGGATGTTACACACAGCTTGCTCTCAACTGCTAACCTAAATGTTGGTGGTTAGAATTCATCCAGCAGTTCTACGGAGTAAAGCCGCTTACCTAAACGTTGGTGATTCGAATTCACCCAGAAGTACTGTGGATGATTTACTTTTAGAAGATTACAGCCAAAAAAATCCTGTGGAGCTAAGTTGTTCTACAGCACGTTGATTTCCTACGAGTTGAATCGACTCCATGACAACAAATTGTGATTTTTGCCTAGTAAGTAGTGGAAAACAATATTAAACAAAATAATTTATATATGGGGGTTATGACTGGAGAAAAGAGATGTGTTTTACAAAGTACCCAAAGGAGGTGAGGGAAAACATATTTAAGGATAGAGAGTTTAGATAGAGGGAACAGCAAATACAAAGGTCTTGAGGAAGGAAAGTGCTTGGGATGGTCATTATGGATGGGAGGCTGGAGTAAGCAAAGGAGAGTGTAGTAAGATACAAAGTCATGGGAATGATGGAGCTAGAATGGCTAGTGTCTTAATAGTAAGGTGTCCAACCATTTTAGGATTTTGACTCTAAAGATGGGCAGTGATCTGGCTTTTATGAGTACTTCAACAGGATTACTGAGAATCAGGAAAGTAGGGAAATACGTACAAAACCAGGATGACCCATTAAGAAGCTATTGCTATAATCTAGGTGATGTTGTTGTTGATGGTAAATGCCAGTCAGTTCTGACTCATAGTAACCCAGTATAGGGTTTCCAAGGAACAGCTGGTAAGCAGTCCTCAGTCCAGTGCTGAGCCTCTAGCACCTTACCAGGTGATAGTGGTTTGAATCAAAGGAGTAGCAGTGGAGGTGGTCAGAAGCTATGGATTCTGGATATATGTGAAGGTAGATCTAATAAGATTTGCTGGCAGATGAATGGAGATACGAGAAATAAATTGAGGATGACTGTCAAGTTGGAATGTGATCAAGTATCAGAAGGACACTGTCATCTATTTACAAGGAAAAAAAACTGCAAAAGAAGCAATGTAAGGCAGGAGATTGTAAAATCAGGTGTTCAGTTTTGGGTAGATTAAATTTGGGACTGATTTTCATCATCAGGATGGAGATGTTAAGTAGAATTATTTCTCTGAAGTTCAGAAGAAAGACCTTGTTGGAGACACAAACACATTGGTAGTTTTCAATTGCTAGAAAGCATTTATAGACATTGAACTGGATGTGATCACCAAGAAAGTGAAAGCCAAAAAAAAAAGAAGAAGAAGAAACAAGGCTGAGTCTAGAGATACTTAAGTCTGAGGAGGTTATAACACTTGTGTTATTGCTATGTGCTGTCCAGTTGGTTCTGACTCACAGTGATCCTGTATAGGGTTCCTAATGAGTGGCTGGTGAGTTTGAATTGCTGACCTCGTGGTTCAAACCAGCCTTGTGGTCCAGTGCTTTATCCCCCAGTGTCACACGAGAAACACTTGTAGGAATCAGCAAATTAAACTTGGAAGGAATGAACAAAATGTTTTGTTTTCTGTCTTCCTGGAATCTAAGTGAGTTAAGTATTTTGGGGAAGCAATAATTCAAATGTGTCAAATCTTTTGGTATGTCAGCTTGTAATGGACACTAAGGAAGTTACCAATGCGTTTAGCTATGTGAAAGTATTGATAAACTTGACAGTGACAATATTTTGTGGAATGTAATAAATTTCAAGCGAAAATGGAAGAAGGGAAATTGGAAACCAAAAATATAGGCAATTATTTCTAGGATTTTTGAGGTAAAGAGAGGAGTAAAGTGGAGAAACAGTAAAGAAAGTATAATTAAAAGAGATTTTTTTAAAGATGGGAGATAAAGCTTAAGATTGTTGTTGTTAAGTGTCATCAAGTCAGTTCTAACCCATAGCGACCCTGTATAAGGTTTCCAAGGAGTGACTGGTGAACTTGAATCGCCAACCCTGTGATTTAAATCAACTTTGCAGTCTAGCCCATTAACCCATAGTACCACATCAGGACTCCAAAGATTAGGGTAGGTGTATACTAATGGGAAAAATCCAGTTGAGAAGTAAAAAATATTAGTGGGAGAGGGCCCTGTTTTTTGTTAGGTGAGAGGAAGTGGCTTCATTTTCCTAGTAACTAGGAAACAGTTGATCAGGTAAGGGTGACGATTAGGGAGGTGGTTTTTAATATATAAAGAAATGGTACAATGTTTTGTTCTGAGTTCTGACACCATGAAGAGTGCTCTAAAGGTTATTAATGATGAGTTTAATGTGAGAGCAGCCTGCATGGTGCAATGTTTTTCTCTGTTCATGTTCATCACCTCTGTACAAATTGAAAGTAGGTGTAGAATTGGATTTGACCAGAGTTGGGGTTTTGAAGCAAAAGAGGGACAAGGGAGTTGAGGTATGTGAGAGGGAATGATTAAAATAATTCTCCATGAGGAAAATGTGGAGCAGAACTCAAAATCTTACACATACACAGATGAGGCTTACTATTTGGATAGAGACTGGAGGAGCACCCAAGACTATGACCCTTAGTTACCCGCCAGATCTGGAAATGCCTCAGTTTTCAGCAAAATAATAGACAAGTCGGTAAGGAGAACCACAGCTGCAGGGGTACACACACCTTAGAATAATCAACGTTTTGAGATCAAACAGTGTGATGTGTATGAGGAATTTATGAACTTGAGTTCCGGGTAAGATTATAGGCTGAAAGTCTAAAATGATGGGGAAGAAGGCAGCCAAGTTTAAAGGTGCCACAGATGGTTAGGCAGTGGATGTCCTCTTCAGAGTTGCCTGGTTGAGGGTGTAGGTGATGGAATTCAAAGTATAAAATTCAAAATCCTTCAATTTACCCAGCTCAATTTCATGTCTCATACATGGACATGTTGTCCGGAAGAACTAGTCCTGTGAGGACATCATGCTTGGTAAAGTGGAGCGACAGTGGAGTCAAAGATAATAATAATTGTTAGGAAGGCACAGGACCTGTCAGGGTTTCGTTGTGTGGTACATGAGGTTGCTATGAGTTGGAAGCGACACAACAGCACCTAAACAACAGCAGGGCCATGTCATGGGTCTTAGTATACTAGAGG